CAACACTAGGATTGAAGGTCAGACTCGACGTCTGTTTTCCCCTTAGGGAAATAGGAAGAATAATGCTTATTCCAGCTGTTGGATTACATCAGAGGCTGCAACGCACCTTCAGGCACAGGATTGCTAGGAATAATACTAAGAACAAAGGGAATCTAGACTGGACTCCTGGTGCCACAAGAGACGAGACAAGGATAGCCACCTCCTCATCCAGCACCCTTGGAAACTCACACAGAGATGTTGAGCAAAATAGAATTTTCAAAATTAAATATGGGGATCGATGTTCGGGTTAAGACCTCCCCATCCCACGTCAGAGTGCCTGGGCTCAATGCCTGGCTCCAGCATAGCGTGGTGAGCCACCCCCCTACACCGGCATCCCATGTGGGTGTTAGTTTGAGACCCAGCTGCTCCACTTCCTACCCAGCTCCCTGCTAATGTGCCTGGGAGGACATCAGAGGATGACCCAAGTGCTTGGGCCTCTGCCACTCACGTGGGAGACCGGCTCCTGGCTCCTGGCTTCATCCTGGCTCAGCCCCAGCCATTGCAGCTGCTTAGAGAGTGGACGGGTGCAGGGCCTATGGGGTCCCGCGTGTTAAATGCATCTGAGACAGGACCAGGCATGCTCTCCTTACTGAGCATGAGCAGCAGGAAATCATGAAAGTGTTAAAGGCAAAAGCACAGAGTCAGAAAGATAAAAAAAAAAAATCATTTGGAGCAATTTAAAAAAGTCAATAATTGCAACCTGTTTAAAAGATATATTTATTTTTTAAAGATTTATTTATTTGAAAGGTGGAGATAGAGAGCAGGAGGGATAGAGAGAGCAAGAGAGATCTTCCATCTGCTGGTTCACTTCTCAAATGGCTGAATGGCTGGAACTGGGCCAGCCTGAAATCAGAAGCCAGAAGCCTCTTTCTGGGTCTCCCACACGGGTGCAGGGGCCCAAGCACTTGGGCCATCTTCTGCTGCTTTCCCAGACCACAGCAGAAAGCTGGATGGGAAGAGGAGCAGCTGGCACTCGAATCAGCACCCATGTGGGATGTCCATGTCACAGGCAGTGTTTTACCCACTACGCCACAATACCAGCCCCAAAGAGGTGATATGTTTGTTTATTTATTTATTTGAAAGGTAGAGTGACAGGGCGGGGGCGGGAGAGACAGAGGTCTTCCATCCACTGATTTACTATCCAGATGGCTGCAAGGGCCGGAGCTGAGCTGATCCGAAGCCAGGAGCCAGGAGCTTCCTCCAGGTCTCCCACGGGGGTGCAGGGGCCCAAGCACTTGGGCCATCTTCCAGGGCTTTCCCAGAGAGCAGAGAGCTGGATCGAAAGTGGAGCAGCCGGAACAGGAACCAGCACCCATATGGGATGACAGTGCCCCAGGAGGAGGCTTAGCCCACATAGCCACAGCTCCAGCCCACGGCTCCTGGCTTCGGATTGGCCCAACTCCAGCCATTGTGGTCATTTGGAGAGTGAACTAGTGGATGGAAGATTCTCTCACTTGCTCTCTCTGCCTCTGCCTCTCTGTAACTCTACCTTTCAAATAAATAAAATAAAATACGAGATAGAAATAAGGGTGTTGTAGAATGTCACAGATAACATGTTCCAAGGTCTTTCTACCACTCAGGAAAATAAAGGTGGTACTGGTTGACTACTAACTTAAGTAAGAATGTTTGGAGAATATGTAAGGAGGTGGTCACTGGGAGGGTAGAAATAGAATGTGTCCCTTCCAAATCGGCGGGGCCAGGGGTGAGATCATAAAGTAAATGAAGGCAGCTTTAGTGGTGTTGAATTCAACTGGCCCTCTGTAGAGCAGCTAGTGAGGTCTAAGGTGCACCTGCTCTTGAGCAGCAAAGTCATATCTACAAACCTGCCTTAGGAGAGTGCTCATGTGTATGCCAACGGGGCATGCAGAGAACTGCACACTGCAGGGTTTCATTTCGTTTTTTAAGATTTATTTATTTACTTGAGAGGCAGAGTTACAGACAGCCAGAGATATCTTTCATTTGCCGGTTCACTCCCCAAATGGCCGCAATGGCCAGAGCTGGGCCAATCCGAAGCCAGGAGCCTGGAGCTTCTTCTAGGTCTCGAAGGCGGGTTCAGGGGCCCAAGCACTGGGGCCGTCTTCTGCTTTCCCAGGTGCATTAGCAGAGCGCTGGATCAGAAGTGGAGCAGCAGGGACTTGAACCGGCGCCCACAGGGGATGCTGGAACTGCAGGTGGATTTTCAACCTACTACGCCACAGGCCAGCCCCTGCAGTGGGTTTAAGATTTATGTGTTTATGAGTCAGAGACAGAGAGAGACAGAGAGCACTCGCATCTGCTGGTTCATTCCCCAGATGCCTGCTACGGCTGACCCGGAACAGGCTGAAGCTGGGAACTGGAAATTCAATCAATCCAGGTCTGTCAGGTGGGTGGCAGGAGCCCAAGCACTTGCGCCGTCCCCTGCAGTGTTATTGTCCGTATGGAGAACCGGAAACAGCCTAAATGTCCATTAGCAAAGAAGCGGTGAAGCGCGATTCGTTCAAGCACACGAGCTGGAGCGCTCTGAGACAAGGATGAGGTTTAAAATGAATGAGAAAAAAAGCAAATTTACAGGAGCATGTGCACAACACAACGCCATTTCAATCTGTTCCTCAGACACACAGATCAAAACTCTGCATTGCTTATGGCCATAAAGTTAAACTGCAAAGTCACAACCAGATGGCTACCCTGAATCAAATGAGCCAAGATGTGGTGGAGCTGGGGTTCAGTCTGTGTACGTGGATATGCTGTGTTCTCTGTACTGTGCCTGTCTGTATGTTTCAAATGCTCATATTTTGCTTCCTAATGAAAGTATCTAGTCATTTAGAAATAAACGTAGGGGCTGGCAAGGTGGCATAGCAGGTTAAGCTGCCACCTGCGGTGCCAGCCGGCATTCTGTATGGACACTAGTTCAAATCCTGGCTGTGCCGCTTCCAGACCAGCTCCCTGCTGGTGCACCTGGGGAGGCAGAAAGGATGGCCCAAGTGCTTGGGCCCCAGCACCCACGTGGGAGACTGGGATGGAGCTGCAGGCTCCTAGGCTTCCGCCTTGGGCCAGCCCAGTCATTGCAACCATTTGGGGAGGGAACCAGGGGATGGAAGATCTCTCTCTCTCTCTCTCTCTCTCTCTCTTTCTCTCTAACTCTAACTCTGCCTTTCAAATAAATGAAATAAATCTTAAAAGAAAGAAAGCAAGAGAGGAGGAAAGGAAGAGGAAGGTGGAGGGGACTAACTGGCTGCATCAGTCCTCAGAGAGGATGAGCTCCTGGATGGGATTAGGAGGGAGGGCAAGTGCTCAGTCCAGGGATTACGAGGATTAACCCAGATCATCCCCTAAGCTGATCACCTAGCTGACCTGCCCACCGCCACTTCCGGCCCTCCGGAGCTGCCTCCATGGACCGCAGCCCACCTGCCCCACACCTCCTGGACTCTCCCCCCTCATCCTCAGCCCAGTCCTGGGGTAGCCAGGTTGTGTCCTAGTTTGACTCCTGGAGATAGATGATTCAAGTGCACCTTGCATGTTCTCAAACTCCAAGTTAAACAAGCAGGTGACCTGCACCCCAGGAGCCAGGGAGAGACTCGTTCTAGCTCTGAGGATCAGAGCTGCCAGGGAGAATGACAGCTTCCTCCTCTGTCTCTCCCTTTGTCCACCAAGTGGTCAGCCGTCAAGGCCGTGGCGAGAGCCTGACCCTACTGGTGGAGACAGAACCAGAGAGGCTGGCTGTGCTGGGGCGGAAAGAACAGCCTCTTGGATGTGGGTCCCCAGAGCTCCACGCTCCCCAAGCCCCCAGTGCCAGCCCCTTCCAAGCGTCCCGACGACTCCCCCCACCCCCGGCTTCAGCAGAGCTGCTATTTCCCGCTCACTGGGCTCTTCTGGCCGCAAGGTCTGGAGCAAGTGCAGGAAACACCCCCGACCTGTGTTCACCACTTCTCAGCACCTCAAGCTGGGGGGTGGGGGGACAGGAGAGGGGCTGGGGAGTAAGGGACTTGCAGGCAACGTTCTTGCTAATGGGCACCGTGGACTGCACAGGATGTCGCCCTCTGCTCACTGCTAAGACAGCATTACCTGTGCTTGACTTGTACACGCGCCTTCTGTGCCTCAGGTACTCTGACCGATGCTGGAGACACAAGGTCTAAGATACTTCCCAACCTTCAAGAAGCTGGGCACACAGGATCCTCGCCCCCCACCACCATGCTGGGACGGCGCAGAGCCCAGAGAGGGCATCCCCTGGGGAGCAGATGAGGCCTTCCACGTGTAGGGCCTGGGAATCCGGGAGGAGGAGGCGCAGGGGTGAATGAAGGCAGACAGCCCTTCTAGGTGCCCCCCCCCAACCTGGCGGCGGATATGCAAGAGAAGGGGTCTGTGCGCCTCGGGTTTAGGGATCTCCCACGTTTCTGAGAGGTGACAACTGCCTCGGCAATCCAGCGCCCGCAGCCACTCCCTGAATGCGTGGACGGTTGAATAAGAAGCCCTTTGGGACCCCACTGCTCCCTTCCACTGGAGTGACCATGGCAGACTTCGGCGGGGGCGTGGTTTGCAGCCACCGGGTGTGGGCCGGAGGGAGACAGAGCGGGACGGTGAAGGGGTCTTCGGGCCCGGGACTGTGGCTGGGTGGGCGTCCAGGGAACACGGAGGGCTCAGGCCCCGCAGTGCTCATGTCCCGGCCTGGCTTCCCCCACGAAGGCGCTTGGAGGGGGTCACCGCGCTGCGGGGATGGGCACCTTGCCCTTCCTCCGCAGTCATTGGGCAGGACCGGGCCCCGACACCGGCCGCAGAGGCGTCCCTGCCACCACAGCAGGTGGATGTGGCCGCTCCTTGTCGGGGCAGCTCGTGTCGGAGGGCAAGACCCGAGGCGTGCCGAGGCGCGCTCACCTTCGCAGAGAGCGCGCAGGGAGGGCTTCCGGGAGGCGGCGGCGGCGGCAGCAGCGGGAGGCCGGGCCAGGCCCCGCCCCTCGGTCCGCCCTCTCTCCTCCCCGCGCGCCCATTCGGGTCCCGGCCCGGCGGCTGCGGCTTCGGCTCGGGGAGGCGGCGGCAGCGGCGGGAGCGGCCATGGAGGCGGGCGCCGGGGCCGGCGCGGGAGCCGCGGGCTGGAGCTGCCCGGGCCCAGGTCAGAGCCGTCCTCCCTCCCCTCACCGCCCCTCCTGCCTCCGCTCCTGCGCGCCTGCCTGCAGACCCCGGGCATCCCTGCTCCTCCGCTGCCCACCCCTCCGCCCTCAGCCTTCCTCCCTCCGTCCCCGCGCGTCCCGGGCCCGGTCTCCATCTTTCCGGTACAGCGGCCACATCCTCCCCGGGGGCCCTCCCCTCTTGCCCCTCCAGCTCGCGGGGGCTCCAGCCGCTGCAGCCCCTCCAGTCCTAAAGGCTCCTGGGCGCCCGGCGAGGTGTGACGGGAGGGGCGGGGCGGGGCGGGTAGGGGGCGTCCCCGCCCAGACCCCTTCGTGCGCCTCTGTCGCCGCTTTGCAGTCGCACGGCCGCTCCCCCTTCCTGGCTGCTGCTCTTCCTTGCGTCCCAGCCCCTCTCCTCTCGGTCCCCTCTTCTGAACATACGCCCGCCCTCCTTCTGCCTAGACCAGGACCCCAGCTGGGCTGGGGTCCCCGCGGGGGAGGCTGAGGGAGGGGAGTCGCAGAGCTGAGCTGGCAGGCGCCTCCGCTGGGATTGCAGATCCCAGGGCCCCACCGGCCTGGAAGGCACGTCCGTCCCCTCTCTTCCCCTGCCCCCCACATGGCTTCCTGTCTCCCTGCTCACAGGACCCACAGTAACCACTTTAGGCTCCTATGAGGTGTCCGAGGGCTGTGAGAGGAAGAAGGGCCAGCGCTGGGGGTCCCTGGAGCGGCGAGGGATGCAAGCTATGGAGGGTGAGTTTCCCAAAAGGGCATCTTTCTTTCCGGTCCCTTCTCCTCCCTCCCTGTGACCCCAGAGCTCCGAGCCCGTGCCACAGCCCTGACCTCTGTTTCCCTCAGGCCCCTCCTCCTTTGGGTGGGAACTCCAGTCCTCCCCAGGGCGCTCTGAGGAAAGTTCAAGGTGCATCCCTTTGGGGCCCCGATGGCACAGCTAACCAGGTTGCGTGCCCCTGGGGAGCTGCCAGACAGAGAACCAGGCCTCTGTGGACAGAGCTTTGAAGCAGTCTTTCAGTGGGGGGTTCGTTCTCCCCGCCTGCGACCCAGATCCCAAGCTGTCTCTGGTTTTTAAAAAAGGCAAGGGCATGGGCACCGCCATGCACTTCAAAGCAAAGTCTCGCAGCTGCGGTCCTCCGGGCTCTGGTCGCCTGGAAGAGCCAGGCCAGGAAGGGCAGGTGAGGCCGTCCCCTCCGACGCACGTGGGTGCCCACCCCACCCGTGTGACTGGGCACCGCAGCCAACGCCGGGCCCCTGGAAGAACACGGCTGGTCCAGGTGCCGGGACTCCCTGGGAGGAGTCCCCAGGCCCCTCCGCCTATTCGGTGTGGGCCACCCTGGTCCCCTTAAGAGGGGCAGGTGACACAGGGGTCCCAGCTGAGCCTTAGGCTGCTGCTAAGAGGAAGTAAGAGCAGAGCCTCTGCATTTGAAGACAAAGCAGACAATCACCGTCCAGACAAGATTTTGCTATTTCCAGGAACTGCATTGCAGTGAAAGAGGGGCTGCTCGCCAACCAGGGGCTGGGGACCAGCACCTAACCCCCCCTGTTGCTATTATTATTATTATTATTTTTTTCCTTTGAAACACATTACAGTGGCAGGCTCACTTTTACACACAGGTGCAAGCTAAGACTTGCCCTGAAAACTCCAGGGGCAAGAGGGGTTATCAAGGGAAGAGGGGCCTCACCCTGCTCAGGTGGGGAGGGGAGGCCCTGTGACAGCCAGGAGGGCCAAGGGAGGAGGGGCCTCACCCTGCTCAGGTGGGGAGGGGAGGCCCCGTGACAGCCAGCCCCAGCAGGGCCAAGCAAGGGGAGCTTGCAGAAAATTCCAAACAGCTGTTTGACAGAATGCGTTTGAAAGGGCCCCCGCGTTTGTCCAGTGAATTTAGAATCATTTCATTCACATGTTTTCTTTCTCTACCTACTGACGGGCAATGTTTGCTTATTATGGAAAGGCTAATTTTACACTAAGCCACCTGAATAATTTAAAAAAAAAAAACTTTCTACAAATCCTCAAACTGTAACTCTGGCCCTGATTGGCCTAAAGGGGTGCCTGGTGTCCGAATCTCCTGACCATTCAGCCCTCTCCCCAGAGAACACACTAGAAAAGACTTGGGTGTGCATGTGTGGTTCCCCGGGCTGAGCCAGGAGACTGTTTGCCCACAGGTTGGAGGCAGAGGCCACCAAGCGTGCCGTTGGGCCAGGAGGATCTGGGGGAGGGGAGGGCGAGGTGGCCCCCTGACCTGCCCCTAACACCTAGGGCTCATCAGGCATCCAGGGGACTCCTGGGCACACCGGGCGGCACTGTTACGCCGCTCTGCCCTCTGGAAGGGCCACGCACAGGAGGCTGGCACTGACTCTCTTCTGGGCTGGGCGTCTCTCCCAGGAGAGGTGTTACTGCCGGCTCTCTATGAGGAGGAAGAGGAGGAGGAGGAGGAGGTGGAAGAAGAAGAAGCTGAGCACATGCAGAAGGCTGGCAGCGGAGGCTCCTTGTCCCTGAGCAAGCACCGGGGCCTGAGCCTCACCGAGACCGAGCTGGATGAGCTGAGAGCCCAGGTGCTGCAGCTGGTGGCCGAGCTGGAGGAGACGCGGGAGCTGGTCGGGCAGCATGAGGACGACTCCCTGGAGCTGCAGGGTGAGCGCCTGCCGCGGGCCGGGGGGCGTGGGCCCAGAGGCTCCACGCTGCACCTGCTCGGAGCCTCACCGACCCGCCCCTCTCCCCACAGGGCTCCTGGAGGACGAACGGCTGGCCAGTGCCCAGCAGGCAGAGGCGTTCACCAAGCAGATCCAGGAGCTGCAAGGTAACGCCCACGGGGGCCAGGGGCCGGCCCAGTGCTGTCCCTGAGGCTCTAACGGAAGCTTGGCAAACCAAAATAGCCCAATGCCATACTTGGGTCTCATCTTTCTCTTCTTGCCTCTCCTCCTCTTTCCACAGCTTCTTCTGTCCCCTCTTCCCTCCTCACCTCTCCCTCTCTCTCTCCTTCACACAGCTCCCAGAATCCTTTGCTCTCATGGTCAGGGCCAAGGGCGGATGCTCAGTATTGGATTCCAAGCCAGACTCCTCTCGCCTGTCCCTCCAAGGGCATGATGGGAAAAAGCAGTGCATGATGGGAAAGTGCAGTAGGCTGACGCGAAGTCACTGCAGGGGCCTCTGAGCTACCTTTAAGGGAATCCCTGAGAGCTTTTCTGGCTCGCTCAAATCTGAGCTTGTACCACCCCCCCCCCCCAACACACACACCCCTCCCTTCCTATGCCTACATCCTTTTGTTTCTGGAAACCAGCAAGCCTTGCATTTTGCTGCACCACTAAATAAAGCAGCAGCTTTTGTGCCTTGGGTGGCCCTCCGGAAAGTTGAGAGGAGCTGCCCCAGAAAACAGCAGGGTCCACCCAAGCCAGAAAGTGGAGGGGCAAAGGCAGGCCAGGGAGCAGCCCTGCAGAGGGGCAAGCGAAGGGGACGATGACGTGAGCGAAGGCAGGGGTAGGGGCCGTGAGAGACCCGCAGGAGGTGGGCTGCACAGGGGACAGTGTGGCATCGGGCTCACCGACCGCTGCTTTGTGCAGGTCTCGCGATCTGTACAGGGCACTCTCCTCTCCCGGAAATTCAGTTGCTTGTCTGTGAACTAGGACTGATTCGTTTGTTTATCCGCGGTGTAGTCAGTGCATTGGTACGTCTGAGTTCCTGCCCCATTGGAGAGAAGGTTCTGATGAGGAGGGGCAGAGAGCGGCACAAACCCACGTGGCGATCAATGCCACGGAGGTGACGTAAGACCCAGGGATGGCGCAGGTGCGCGTTGTAACGGGGTGGTCAGGGATGCTGTCTTTGAGATGCTGGCATTTGAGTGAAGCCCTGAGTAATGAGAAGGCCCTGGCCATTCAGGAGCCGAAGGAACAGCAAAGGCGCAGAGGCGGGAATGAACTTCATGTGAACTTCACGGAGGACAGAACACAGGGCCCTGGAGGATCCCAGAGAGAGAGCGCCAAAGGCAGCCAGGGGCCAGCTCGTAGCGGGTCTTGCAGGCCCGCTGAGAGCTTTGCTTTATATTTTTATGTCATTTTAAAAAGTTGTTTTTATTTGAGAAGCAGACAGACACAGAGACAAAGACAGATTTTCCCATCCAGTGACTTTCTCCCCAAACGCTGGCAACAGCCAGTGCTGGACCAGGCCCGAACCAGGAGCCCAGAACTCCAGCTGGGTCTCCCACGTGGGCCACAGGAACTCAAGTACTTGACCTCTCATCTGCTGTCTCCCAGGCATCAGCAGGGAGCTGGATGGAAGCCGAAGCAGGACTTGAACCCAGCACTCGGATATGGGAAGCAGGTATCGCCAAGCAACGATTTAACCCACTGTGCCTCAGCATCCTCACTGTACCTTCTGTGTAGAAACGACGGAGGGAAGAGAATCCAAACAGTGAATCCTAGGGCACATCATTGCCTTACTCCAGTAGAGAGGTGGTCGGCACTTGGATGGAGGCAGTAAGATGGGAGATGATCCAGAGCGTACTTTGAAGGTGGAGCCTTCAGGAGTTGCTGACGAAATGGATGGAAGGAAACAGAAACGTGAAAGTCGCCTTTACATTGGAAACCTGGATGGGGCGTGGTCTCGTTTATTGGGTGGGGAAAGACTCAGACTCAGCAAGGAATAAGAATGGGCACCAGGGGACCCTTTAAGATCTTTTCCTTTCTGTTGGGTTTGAACATCCAAGTGACTTAGAAGTGTTTTTCAAATTTATTTTTATTTATTTATAAAACAGAGGAGAGATCGATCTCCAATCTGTTGGTTCATTCCCCAAATACCCACATTAGTCCTGGGGCTGGGTGAGGCTGAAGCCAGGAACCCAACCCAGGTCTCCCACATGGGTGGCAGAGACCCGGCTACTTGAGCCATCACTTGTCCCAGGGAGTCCATTTGCAAGAAGCTGGAACAGGGAGTGGAGCCGGGACTTGAACCCAGGCACTGTGGTATGGGACGTGGGCGTCCCAGGTGGTGTCTTAACCACTTTGTCAAACACCTGCTCCCAAGTGACTCATCCAGGGAGGCTACTGGGTATGTAAATTCAGAACGGGGGCGGGGGTGGGATCCCGGCTGGAGATACGAGTTTGAGATCCGTTAGCTTATAGATGGCATGAGAATCCACGGGAGATGGCAGTGCTGTCACAGGAGAGACGCTGGAAGAGGAGAGGCAAGTCCAGTCCCAGAGATGCCCAGGACTGAGAGCTGCAGAGCAGGGAAGTGAACGGAGGCCGAAGCTGGGTTCTGCTGAGGGAGCCAAGAGCTGCAAGGCCTGCTGGAGATTGGCGACCCACCGTAGAAGCTGCCAAGGCGAGGGGATGATGGTGGAAATTGGCAACATGGAGAAGCCTGAAAAATTTCAGTGCGGACAGAAGGTTGACTGGGTTGGAATAGAAGCGGAGATGGGAGGGGAAAATGTGGGTGAGCGCAGGCAACTCCAGTAGTCGTTTCCAAGAAAATCGGAGAAATAAGGGACATGGAGTCAGGGGGAAGCGCTCAGCCTGGCGGGCACCCCGAGCCCCGCCCCCCAGAGGGCCCGACCGCCCTCGCGCACGCGCCTTGCCCGTTCCCGCCGAGAGGGGGCGCGCGCGGCCTCAGAGGGAGCTGGTGTCGGGGGCCGTTCGGGCCGCCACAGCCCCTCGGGGCCCGGACCCGGCCGGGCGGCGGGAGGCCCCCCAGGAAGACCACTTGCGGGGGGGCCCGGGGAGATGGAGGCCATAACCAGTGAGTGAGAATCGACCTCTTTGCCCCCCAGCCCGACCCCCGGGCCCCTCCGCCTGGCCTCGACGGTCCCAGCCCCACAGCCAACCGGCGCCGGCCCTTCGGAACCCGGCTCGGGGGAGCCCCCAACTCCCGGCAGCCGGCCCCTGCCCGCTGCGGGCCCCGGCATGGGCATGTTAGGGAAGTGGAGGTGGTGGTACCCTGCACCTGGGCCCGTGATCTGAATGGCGGGTTCGCTGGTGGTCCCCACTGAGCTGGGACCTCGCTGTGCTGGCCCAGCCGTGGGGATGGAGCAAGGGCTTCCTTGCCTTGCAATAGCGGGGCGGACCGGCCCAGAGTTAGATCGGTCCCTGCTTGGGGATTGGGCGAGGAGAGGAGGCATCTGGGATCGGGCCAGCAGGGAGGACTGGCGAGAGGTGGGGTCCGGGCTGCCCCTGTGAGCCAGGGCGGGTCCGCGAACCTTCCCTGAGACACCCGGGCCCCTCGCCCTTCCTGCTTGCAGCACCCTTCTCATTTTTTAAAAAACACCCAGCATGCACTTCGGTACACGTGGGGACACTCTGTTTGCTGAATGTGTGCACCCTTGCCTCACCCGGACCTGAACACAGGAAGTGTTTACTGGGCCAAGCCCAGGGCCCGGAGCTGTTCCTGGTGAGCGGCGCAGCCGTGGGCCCCACCTTCCTACGGCTTGCAGTGCTGCCGGAGGTAGACCAGCTGCACACGCGGGCGCGAGGAGAGTATTTCTTGCAGGACTTGGCTGTTGAGGAGCTGTGGGGAGAGCCTAGGAAAAGTGGAGTAGATGAGCAGAGACTGGGGACAGGAGATGAGGAGAATGTGCCCGTGGGAAGGTCCTGAGCCGCCCAATCAGTCCTGAATTCCCCCATCCTGGCCCCCAAATCCTGAGTTCCTATTAATAGCTATGCCTTTAAAAAAAAAAAGATTTATATATTTGAAAGAGTTACAGAGAGGTAGAGAGAGAGAGAGAGGTCTTCCATCTGCTGGTTCACTCCCCAGATGGCTGCAATGGCTAGAGCTGAGCTGATCCAAAGCTTCGTCTGGGTCTCCCACATGGGTGCAGGGGTCCAAGCACTTGGGCCATCTTCTACTGCTTTCCCAGGTCATATCAGAGAGCTGGATCAGAAGTGGAGCAGCCGGGACTTGAACCAATGCCCATATGGGATGCTGGCGCTGCAGGCCAGGGCTTTAACCCAGTACGCCACAGTGCTGGCCCCACTGCCTATGCCTTTTACTACCTTTCCTCTTTTAGGTTCTGTCAATCCCAGATGGGTTCCTGTGTCCAGAAGCCCTGAGATGCTGCACAGATGCCGAGAGCGCTGACACATTTTTCTCTCGTGAGCCTCTGTGTATTATAAAACACAGGCCTTGTGAAAATTCACACAGCGCAGAAACATAGGAGGTGGAAAGTCCACATCCCCGTCATGTGCGGCACCGCTCAGGAGCAAGGCTCTGGCTGGTCTGGGACGTAGATCTTCCCAGGCCTGTTTCTGTCTTTGTACATTTGTGGGTTATATATGTCTCGTAAAGGTAACTTTTGCAAGAATTAGATAATACCATGATTTTGTAGCTTGTTGTTCTTCTAGTTAATATATTGTGGAAACCTCAGATCTTCAGTGTAGAGCTGCCACTTTTTTTTTTTTTTTTTTTTTGGCAGGCAGAGTAGACAATGAGAGAGAGAAAGAGAGAAAGGTCTTCCTTTGCCATTGGTTCACCCTCCAATGGCCACCGCGGCCGGCGCACTGTGGCTGGCGCACTGCGCTGATCCGATGGCAGGAGCCAGGTGCTTCTCCTGGTCTCCCATGGAGTGCAGGGCCCAAGTACTTGGGCCATCCTCCACTGCACTCCCGGGCCACAGCAGAGAGCTGGCCTGGAAGAGGGGCAACCGGGACAGAATCCGGTGCCCCAACCGGGACTAGAACCCTGTGTGCCAGCGCTGCAAGGCGGAGGATTAGCCTAGTGAGCCGCGGCGCCGGCCTGCCACTTTCTTTTAAATGGCAACATGATATTCCCTTCATCCTCTGTCAATTTAAAAAGCACGTATCAAGTGCCATTTAGGTTTTCAGTCTATGCTTGGTTATATGGTGAACTAACATGTGGATTTCTTTTTTTAACATTTATTTATTTTTATTTGAAAGTCAGAGTTACACAGAGAGAGGAGAGGTAGAGAGAGAGAGAGAGGTCTTCCATCTGCTGGTTCACTCCCCCAGATGAATGCAACGGCCAGAGCTGCACCCATCCGAAGCCAGGAGCTTCTTCCAGGTCTCCCACGGGGGTGCAGGGACCCAAGGACTTGGGCTTCTACTGCTTTCCCAGACCATAGCAGAGAGCTGGATTGGAAGTGGAGCAGCCGGGTCTTGAACCAGTGCCCATATGGAATGCCGACACTTCAGGCCAGGGCATTAACCCACTGTGCCACAGTGCTGGCCCCTAACATGTGGCTTTCAGCTGTGGACTCTAAATACACAGTTGTTTTGGATCTCGTACTTACCACAGGCAGTTCGTGGGACCTCTGAGGCTCTATAATTTCCAAGCTCTCAGCTTGAGTGGGTGAAAATAATTTTTGTAAATTTTTTTTAACTAGGAGAATTTTTAGAAGTCAGGCCAGCAATAAAGCACTATCAAGTAGGGATAGGCATTTGGTACAGTGGTTAACTTGTCACTTGGGATGCCTGGCCTGCACTGTGGAGTGCCTGGTTCAAGTCCAGCCTCTGCTTCTGACCCAGCTTGCAGCTAACGCACACCTGGCAGGGAGCAGGTGGTGGCTCAAGTGCCTGGGTCCCTGCCACTCACATTGGAGACCTGGATGGGGTCTGGGTTCCTGGCTTCGACTTTACCCAAGTCTGGCTGTTATGGGCATTTGGGGAGTGAACCAGCAGATGGAAGATCTGGCTGTCTCTCTGCCTCTGTCTCTCTCTGCTTTTCCAATAACAATGAAAATAAATTTTTTAAATCTTAAAAAAATAATAGCGTAAATTAAATTTGGTCTTTAACTGTCAGGTGTCTCCCAGGAAGTACTTAATACTCTTTGTTTACAGCAGCCCAAGTTGTTGCACTTGGTAGCAGGCCTCAAAATCTGCTTTTCTACTCAGCCTACCACACAGAGTCGCTCTGTTCCTTTTATTCCTGGACACTGGGGTGTCATGAGTTCGCGGACAAGCCGTAAGTCCACCTTGAACTTTGTGCCGCCGGCACGCGGTAGACGAGCCGTCCCCCTGACCCTCTGCACCCTTGGGCCTGCAGGTGAGCTTCGCCATCTGCGGGAGGAGATCTCCCTGCTAGAGCGGGAGAAGGAGAGCGAGCTGAAGGAGATCGAGCGGGAGCTGCACTTGGCCCAGACCGAGATCCAGAGCCTGCGGCAGGCGGCGGCCGACTCGGCGAGTGAACATGAGAGCGACATGGCGTCGCTGCAGGAGGACCTCTGCCGCATGCAGACCGAGCTGGACGACATGGAGCGCATCCGGGGAGACTACGAGCTGGAGATCGCCACCCTGCGCGCCGAGATGGAGATGAAGAGCTCCGAGCCCTCCAACAGTTTAAGTCTCTCGGACTTTTCTGGGTTGCAAGGTAGGAGAGAGCGAGTTCTCCCGGCCAGAGGAGGGTGGGTAATGCAGAGGAAGGCGGTGGAAAAGTGTGCCGCTGGATGAGGAATTAGGAACCGCTAGGAAAAAGCCCTCCAGGTTAAACTTGAGACTGTGGGGCCGGTGCCGTGGCTCACTTGGCTAATCCTCCACCTGCGGTGCCGGCATCCCATATGGGTGCCGGGTTCTATTCCTGGTTGCTCCTCTTCCAGACCAGCTCTCTGCTGTGGCCCGGGAAGGCAGTAGAGGATGGCCCAGGTGCTTGGGCCCTGCACCCGCATGGGAGACCGGGAGGAAGCACCTGGCTTGAGACTGTAAGGGAGAACATGTACTCAGATGTTACAGTCATTCCATGGCGCTGTGAGAGGCGTGCATTGGGAATTCTACCCCAGAGAGCCTTTAGGGCTTTGTTGACCTGACTGTGGGGAAGCCCTCCTGCTGGGCTGTCCAGTTCTGGGAGGAGGGGAGAGAGCCGGGTCACCTTGGGAAGCCACCTGCTGCTCTGGCCTCATGGTGCTTTGCCGGCTCGTGTCATGGGGGGCCCGGCCCTGCTTCCCAGGCTCCGGGGTGCTAATTCTGAGGCTCCTCTAACCCTTCCAGTGGGGAAACTTTAGGGCCAAAAGATCAGAGCTCAAGACAGCTGGAGAGGAAGATTATTTCCAGTAAAATATGAGGCACTCAAAGCTTCAGCCAGTGAGGCGCCCAGCTAGTTGCTAGGATTCGCGACATCAGAGAGCCTGGACTTCCGGTCTGAGCACAATGGAGGCCCTATATTTGGCCAGGCCAAGCAGAGGCAAGCAGAGGCAAGCAACAAGGAATCTAAGGCCTTCAAGTTTGCCCGGCCATGTCCAGCCTCTGAGAAGAGCTGGTGGTGCAGGGAGAGGGAGGCTAGCGCAGAGGGAAGGGCTTGGGCTGGAGTGAGACAGGGGCAGAGTGCAGAAACACAGCTCCACCCCTCAGCACCGTGAACTCCATCTGGTTATCATCTCTCGCTGAGCCTTGATCTCCACAGCCGGGATGGGGAATTCAAAGTGGCGAACAAGGCCTTACAGCGAGGTGGGGTTCTGGAACGGTAAACGGTAAGAGGGCCTTGGGGGAAAGTGTAGAGAAATCTGAATCCAGTGTGGAGTGGAGTGAACAGTAATTGCCAGCCTTGATTGCTGAGTCATGCCACGTGTCCTGGGGTAATGAGATGTTAACAGTTGGGGAAACCAGATGAGAACTCTCTCAGGGAACTCTACTACTTTTTTTTCTTTCTTTTTTTTTTTTAAGATTTATTTTATTTATTTGAAAGATAGAGTTACACAGAGAGAGAAAGACAGAGAGAAAGGTCTTCCATCTACTGTGCCGATCCGAAGCCAGGAGCCAGAATCTTCTTCTGGGTCTCTCACATGGGTGCAGGGGCCCAAGGACTTGGGCCATCTTCTACTGCTTTCCCAGGCCATAGCAGAGAGCTGGATTGGAAGTGGAGCAGCCAGACTAGAACCAGCGCCCATATAGGATGTCGGTGCTTCAGGCCAGGACTTTAATCCACTGCGCCACAGCGCCGGCCCGGAATTCTACTACCTGATAATTTCTTTTTTCTACTACCTTTGCAACTTTTTAGTAAATCTAAAATTACAAGTTTATTTAAAGAGAAAAATACCGCTGCGAGCATTCGCGACCGCAGCCCGATCTGAGGCTGAAGTCAGACAGGGCTGGTTTCCGTTTTCTTCCTTCCTCCTATGGTAACCTGTGGTAGTCTAAGGACTCTGATTGGAATGGAAAGGAAACGTCAGAAGTGACGTTCAGGGCAGTGATGCTCCCAGCAGGTGAGATAGGCCTTGTGTTCCAAACAGAGCAAATCGGTGTTTGTTAAATATCAGTAGAATTCATGTTCTAGGAGACACAGTTCCTAGTCACGAGGGAACAAAACGTAGGGGTGTTTACATCATGATGACGTGACAAAAATTATCGCTAACTTGGCCTTAGGGTCAGTGGGGCAGTTCAACCTGCTCTGTTCTGAGGCTTGGCGCTGGTGATACGTGAGGCGATGGAAGATCGCTGGAGGGACTGGCGTGGCGCAGCAGGTTAAGCCGCTGCCTGCGACACCAGCATCCCACCAGAGCATCGGCTCCAGTCCCGGCTGCTCCACTTCTGATCCAGCTCCCTGCTAATGCACCTGGAAAAGCAGTGGAAGATGGCCCAAGTGCTTGGGCCTCTGCCACCCATGTGGGAGACCCGGATGGAGTTCCAAGCTCCTGGCTTTGGCCTGGTTCAGCCCCAACCATTGTGGCCATTTGGGGAGTGAAGCAGCAGATGGAAGACCTCTCTCTTTCTCTCTGCCTTTCAAATAAATGGCGTATCTTAAAAAACAATCATTTATTAAAAAAATTAGAAAAAAATTCTTGACCACATCAAGACCAAACAGAGTGTTTGAAATGGTGATAAAGGAAGGAAAAGAAAGATCAGAACAGCTGGGTTGTCTGGCAGAGTTCACAGCTCTCAGCTTTTGGTTCTAAAGGAATCGTAAACAACTATAAATACAGAACACCAGAAACCTAATCAAAGTCCCCCAAGCCCCCGGAAGCTCAAGACCCTGCTGTGGGTGGGGCAGATCTGCAGGACGGCCTCCCGGTGCTGTGGCATCTTCTGGGCCTGTCTTCTGAGCCTCTGGGAGTGGTGTCTCTTCTCTGTCTTCAGAAAAAGTGAAGCTGTTCCGACTTGTGCTCTCGGGTTTCTAGGCAGGAAAACGGGGTGTGTGGGGGGGGTCCTCACCCGTGCTTCCCCCACCCCGAGGCGCTCACCTCGCTCTGTTTGTCCTGTGCAGAAGAACTGCAGCAGTTGCAGGAGCGCTACCACTTCCTGAACGAGGAGTACCGGGCCCTGCAGGAGAGCAACAGCAGCCTCACGGGGCAGCTCGCGGATCTCGAGAGCGAGAGGTACAGCCGGGCCGCTGGAGGGGCGGGTGGGTGGGGCTTGGCAAGACTCTGCCTCGGGCATCCCTGAAGGCAGACACCGGGGGCACCAGTGTTCCTCTGATCCTGGAGAGCTGGTCCTCTCCCTGATAGACCGCCTGGAGGCAGGCACAGGAACCCAGCCTGATGATCTCAGAACCAGAGCTGAATGGCTTCTGAAATTTAGCTTTCTTGGGGCCGGCGTTGTGGCGTGGCAGGTAAAGCTGCTGCCCACAACACTGGCATCCCATGTGGGCGCCGGTTTGTGTCCCGGCTGCTCCACTTCCAATCCAGCTCCCTGCTAATGGCCTGGGGAAAGCAGCAGAAGATGGCTCAAGTGTTTGGGCCCCTGCCACCCATGTGGGAGACCCAGACGAAGCTCCTGGCTTCAGCCTGGCCCAACACTGGCCATTGCAGCCATCTGGGGAGTAAACCAGTGATGGAAGACCTCTCTCTCTGTGACTCTGACACTTTCAAGCTAAATAAATAAATCTTAAGATTTAGTTTTCTTCCACTGTAGCTATCGGGGTCTGGTTTGCTCTGCCCGAGAGTAGGTTGAGAAGACATTCCTACACTGTCCATGCAGACTTGATTAGGTCTAATGGCTTAGCGCAGCCAGACTGGAGCTGGCTTGCCACCAGGCCCAGCCTTGAAACCAACTGGACTGGTACTCGTAGGGCCTCCCAGGGCCCACACGCCTCTGCAGAAGAGATCCTGGCGACTGTCCTCTTCTCCACGTGCTTATCTGGGAGGTGCATCGCGGCAGAAGGCCCCGCCTCTCTTCGGTATAATCTGAAGGCATAAGGATGGAGGCCGCTTGGCTAGTGGTCTAGCCAGGTTCGCTAGTGACAGAGTTCCTTCCAACGGGGCTTTGGGGTTCTGGGTTACAGGACACGGAGAGCGACGGAGAGGTGGCTGGAGTCCCAAACACTGAAGAGCATGACATCGACCGAGTCTCAGACTTTCGAGGCGGATTTCCCGGAGCCCGACCCTGGAATGCAGCTGTTGCGGCAGCAGCTGCTGGGGGCTGAGGAGCAGATGCTGAGCATGAAGACCAAGGTACGCGCGCACCGCGGGCAGGGGAGGGCAGGGGAGGGGAGAGGAGGGGAGGGGAGGGGAGGGGCGGCGGGCTCCTTCCACAGCTCCCTTTCACCTTCCACTCAGCGCTGGCCAAGGAGGCATGTCACTGGCCGTAGAGAGCAACCGGGGGCTGCGCAGTGACACTTGGGCAGCAGCTGCATCTCCAGTGGGCGGGCCAAGGAGCTCCTCCTGCCTAGTGACGCTGAGACGTCCTAGTGTCATCGGGAGACACGTCACTCGTGGGTCTGTGGCAGTGTTGGTGTAAACAAACCAATGGCACTGCCAGCCCTGTGAAGGTGCAGAGGTGCAGGTGTGTGCAGGCTGTTGGACGTGACAATGCTAGTAAATGCTGTGTTACCGGTTTATGTATTTACTATGCTACTTATTACTTTAGAGCGTGCTCCTCCTTGTTAGAAGAAAAGTTGGCTGTGAAACAGCCTCAGACAGCTTGTGTTCACCTCATCTCTCTTAAAAATTTTTTTTATTTATTTAAAAAGCAGAGTTACAGAGAGGCAGAGAGAGAGAAAGAGAGAAAGGTCTTCCATCTGCTAGTTCATTTCCCAGATGACTACAACAAGTGGAGCTGGGCTGATCTGAAGCCAGGAGCCTGGAGCTTCTTCCAGGTGTCTCATGTGGGTGCAGGGGCGCAGGCACTTCCATCTTCTCCTGCTTTCCCAGGCCATAGCCTGGATCGGAAGTAGAGCAGCTGGGACTCGAACCAACGCCCATGTGGTGCCAGCACTGCAGGCGGCACTTTACCCACTATGCCACAGCGCTGGTCCCTACCTCGTCTCTTGATCGCATTGTTTTCCTCTTGTGCTTGGTTTAGCCTCGTGTTGTTTTGTCCATCATGGCCTTAGGACCAATAGGTGATGCATACACGTGTACAAACCAGGCCAGCTAGAATGTACTAGGCTTTGTACCATGTACGTCTGTACGTCCATGATGTTTGCACAACAGTGCATTTCCCAGAACACATCACGGCTATCGTTAAGGGACCCACGACTGTGTTCCAACTGAAGGAATGCAGGCTTTCCCCGAGCCTGTCTGGAGCACGCGTGGCACCTGCCATCAGCCGGGCTGCCTGCTCCGTTTCCCGCGCAGTGCAAGGAATTGTGTGGAGAATTGCAAGAGCTACAGCACCACCGGCGGGTCGGCGAGGAGGAGCAGAGGCGGCTGCAGAGGGAGCTCAAGTGCGCGCAGAACGAGGTGCTGCGGTTCCAGACCTCTCACAGCGTCGTCCAGGTGAGCGGCCTGCGCGCAGCCGCTGCCGCTGCCGCACGGGACGACGGGCACAGAACCTGCGGCCCGCCCTGCTGACCTTTACCCCACAACCAGGGCCTCCCCCGAGAAGCCCAACCCTAGGCCCACGGGAGCTCCTCAAGGCGTCCGCGTCTGTAGAGGGGCCTGCCGTGTCCAGAAGGGTGACAGTGCTACCCACGTCTCCCCCGCACAGAACGAGGAACTGAAGACCAGGCTCTGTGCCCTGCAGCAGAAGTACGACGCCAGCCAGGATGAACAGAAGGAGCTCTTGAAAGTGCAGCTGCAGCTTCAGTCTGAGCTCCGGCAGCTCAAGGTCACAACGTCCACGGTCACGGAGAGCCAGGCTGAGAAGGTGAGAGGGCAGCCAGAGGTGCCGGGAGCACCTGCATCGCGGGAGATGCCGGCTGCGAGTGGAGCGTTAAAAATAGCTCCAGCCGCCAGCTGGGCAGCCGGGCAGGTGGGTGAAGAGCCGCGGGCCCCTCGGTGCCGTCTCGGGTAGGTGAGCACCAGGCAGGAGGGGCAGGAAGAAAGCAAGCCCCGGGCCATCCGTGTCCAGATGGCTCAGGCAGGAGAGTGAGTAAAGGAAGCCGCCGGCACCGCCCAAAGCCCTGCTTTCCTGCAGGAACTGCTGTGCCGGGTCCAGAAGCTGCAGCTGCAGTACCAGACCACCACGAAAGAGAAGGAGAAGCTGTTGCAGGTGCAGCAGCAGCTGCAGGAGCAGCTGCGGGGCCACGAGGCAGAGCTGCAGGGCCTCAAGAACATGGTGTCCTGCTTCCGAGAGAGCGCAGACAAGGTAAAGCAGCGCCAGGGAGGGGCTGGGGGCAGGCAGCGCCGGGCGGGAGGGGGAGGGAGAGCCGCTCTGTGAGGGCCAAAGAGGTGCTGAGGGCAATGGAGACTCCTCTCAGCTTCCTCTGATGTCCAATCAGAAAGCCGGCCCCTATACAAAGAGCAAGTCCCCTCTCCCCGCTCCCCACGAAGGGAAGCCCAGGTCTCTGTTCCAAGCCTGTTAGGGCTGGGCCCATCTTGGGGGTCCCTGGCTGGGATGACACTGGGGCCGAAAGGGACAGGGGAGGACCGATGGACCCCCTGTAGTCCCCGCCTGAGAGGAGCGCGTGCGGCGGCAGCGGCTCCCCGGGTGACGGCCGGGCCTGGCTCCCCTGCCCAGAACACAGAGACGCAAGCCCAGCTTCGGGAGATAAAGCGACTGTACGAGGACAGCAAGGACGAGCTGGAGCGGCAGAAGCACATGTACGACCAGCTCGAGCAGGACTTCCTGCTGTGCCAGCTGGAGCTGGACGAGCTCAAGACCACCCAGCCCCTTCTCGAGGACAAGGACAAATGTGCTAACAAGGTAACTGTAATCCCGAGAGGTGAGCGTTCCCAGGTACTCGCTCCAGGGAGAGGCGGTGCGACAGAGGCAAGAGACGGAGCCAGCCCCGCAGCGGGCTTGAGGGCTCCCTAGCCGGGAAGCGGGCACAGCCACCTGCTGCCACCTGGGAAACGGTTTTCCTTGACCTTGCCTTTGAGCCAGAGCCACAGCGTAGCGAGAGAAGCCCCTGTGGATACCAGTGTCTGACGTGAGTCCGCGTGGGTGGATGTGTTGTCCGCTGGTGTTAAACTAGTGAGCCCCCCTGGGTGTTTGTGGAGCAGAGCGTACACACTGGCCGACCTCCCACACGGTTACTGCTGGAACTGTAAAGACGGGGGCCGGGTTTCTGAGGCAGACGACAGATGCTCTGGGAAGGGAGTGGGTGTGGCCTCGGGCTCAGAGGTGGGTGACAGAGGGTCTAGGCTCTCCCAGGATCTATTCTGTGATGTTTGGAGTAAATTCTGGAAGCCTACATTTCCTCCTCTTCACCTGGAGCAGAGCACCCCCCCCACCTCACTTCCGGTTAGTAATAAATGCTGGCAGTGATCACTAAGGCTGTATGCACCTCTTCTTTTTCCGTAGAGTATAAAGTGCAAGGCGTTATCTTTTAATAATAAAAGCATGTTCAGCTCCTGGTTGCCGATAGGAAGTGGAAAGGGGTGGAAGCCGGTTGGAGACAAGGCACTAGACTCTCAAAAGCCGGAGGAGCCGGTGCCATTGTGCCAGAACCCTCGGCAGCTCCTCCCCAGCCAGCAGCTGTGTCCCTAGCGAGAGGCCTGGGAAGATGGAGGATGTGACGCCTCGCAGTCTGTTTGCGCCTCTGGGCCCTCTCCCTCCGCTCGCACTCAGCTTAGGGGCCCGGGGCCTGTGCCCATCGCCCCTCTCCTGGTGGGAAGCACTCCGGGGAAGGAGCAGGTGCTGGTACCCAGAACTGGCTCTTCTCCAGCCACGGCATGGCATCAGGATTGGCTTAGGTCTTCAGAAGCTCTGGGTTTGGGATTTAGTCTACTCAACCCACCTCAGCACTAACTAGTACTTTTCCGAAGATTGTAAGAGATGGTTAGAAAAACAAAAATGGGAAAACGTGGAGTGAAATTAAGTCCTTATTGGTAAGGAGCATGATTGGGTCTGAAAACAAGTGGAGGGTCGCAGGAGCTGGCGTTTCCAGCGCCGGAGAAGGGAAGGGGGCTGAGAAGGGAGGGGTCTGAGAGCAGCCCCCTCCTGCAAGGGGCTCACAGGGCCAATGTAGAAGGCTGCCAAGCAGCCACACGGCGGCCGGCGGCAGTGCCATCTTCAGCATCTAGCGCCTGGTCTGTCTGGGGGCAGTATGCTTGGGACTGAAGTGAGTCTACCGGGAGGGAGACCCTCGGGAGCCGCAAGCACAGAATTGCTCCGCTGGCCAGCCAGGAGGTGCGCCCTGCAGAGTAACCAGCCCTTCCCCTCACCCGCCCACAGTGTGATGCACTGCTGTCCAGACTGACAGAATTGCAGGAGAAGTTCAAGGTCAGCCAGAAGGAGCTGGGGCAGCTGCAGATGGAGCAGTGCGAGCTCCTGGAGGATCAGAAGCGGTTGCAGGAGGAGCAGGGCCAGCTGCAAGAAGAGCTGCACAAGCTCATGTTCCCGCTCCCCAAGAGCGGGCTCGTCCGGAAGGTAACCGCAGCCAGGGCGTGACCGCCGTCCGTCCCCGGAGGCTGCTCTCAGGACCTCCGACATGTGGCTGTCCTTGGGAAGCATAAATAGCCTGGGGACTGGACTTCCTCCTGCCTGAGCCCGTCACTGCTTACTTTCTCACTGTTCCCCGCCCCACAAAACCCAAAAGCTCCATGGAGCTGATGAGGCTTTTTCTCGTAAGACATGCACGTCTTAGAACACATTCTCTATTCTGGAATCTGTGCAGCATTTCTATGCTTGGAGACAATGCACCTGAAAGCCCTTTGAAAACGAACCCTAAGAGACCAGCACTACGCGCTTAGCAGGTCCTCCTGGAAAGACCCCCCCAGTCCCCACTGGGCTGTGCAGGGCCAGCACAGAGATTCATCCGGAAGGGACTGGTTCCCGGGGGGGAGGCGGCACAGGAGCCTGCCGGTTACCCAGCCCAACTCCTTCCTCCCGTCCCACCCCACAGAGTCAGGACATACTGACAAAGCTGCAAGACCTCTGTGAACTGCAGATGCTTTACCAAGGCATGCAGAATGAGCAGAAAAAACTGATAGAGAGCCAAGCGAGTATACTGAAAGAACAATTAGAGACGCACAAAGCGCTGCGGCACTTCAAAGAGACACATTTCCAGGAAGTGGTGGAGAATCCTGAGGACCCCAAATGGGCTAAGTCCTCGAAATGTGATGATGAAAACAAGGTAACTCTAGCAAGAGGTGGGGGGCAGCCTCGCAGAGTTCTGGGGCAGGAGGGCCCCGGGGCTAGGAGACCTGTCGGGCCAGGAGTAAGGATAAGGCTGAAGGCCTGCCCTCGGCCAGCCAGGGCTCCACTGAGATGGAGCCAGAGAGCCTCACCTGCGTGCAGGGCCCTGCGGGAGCCCCGTGGGTCCTTAGAGCAGAGCGGGGGGCTGTGTCCTGATCATATGACTCAGTGCCATCAACTTCATGTGGATTCAGTGTGCGCCGGGATTCCTTTGGAGTGACTCAAATGCATCACCCTTTCCCATGAGCAGCAGAGCACACGTCTCAGGTCACCAAAGCTGTAGCCTTTCGGTGTTCTACGTGAGACAGATCCGGGCCCACTCGTTTCCACGGGGAGAGTTCTTAGCGTGTGAGTTTCTTCGAACACCCACCACTACCTGAGCTGGAACTTTGGTGGCAGCGACAGAGCCAGATCAGGCCTAGCCCAGAAAATGGGTGCATCAGAGCGCCAGCCAGGGGCCCTGCGTGTGGGGCAGGCATTTCCAGACAAGTCTGCTTAGGGATAGGGCACACAGTTAGTCCAAGGTCTCTGTGAGAGCAGGTAGATAGTTCCGCTTGAGGCAGAGTCTGTTCACCCAGCTATTTGCCTAAGCAAGGAGAACCAGGGGCCACAGCAGTCCAAACTATGAGGCTTGCTCAAATTTCAGGGATATCAGATGTCCAGGCTGAGCACCCTCATAGCAGAGATGGGAAGCAGGTATAATGTCTTTCCTAAGCTGCTCGGATCTCACGCCGGGCATCCGCAGCCAAGAAGCCAGGCCCAGGAGGCCGGGAGATGTGCCCAGAGGTCAACTTCAGAATCGGGGCAGGAGGTTCAGGGATTAATAGTTAGCCCTTGAGTCCAAGTCTGCATCTTCCAAGGAAGAATATTTTATAGGCCCCTGTTTAAGGCTGAGTTGACTTGATTTTTATTTTAAAAGATTTATGCATTTATATGAAAGCGGAGAGAGAGAATTTCATCTACCGGCCTACTCCCCAGATGGCCGCAACAGCCGGGGCCAGGCCAGACCAAAGCCAGGAGCCAGGAGCTTCCTCCAGGTCTCCCACTTGGGTGCAGGGGCCCAAGCACTTGGACCATCTTCCGCTGCGTTCCCAGGGGCATTAGCAGGAAGCTGGATCAAAAGTGGAACAGCCGAGACTTGAGCCGCGCCCATGCGGGATACCAGCGCTGCAGGCAGAGGCCCAACCTTTCACGCCACAACTGGCGGGGTTGATTTTAGAACTGGGGGCAGGGAGAGACTGATGCTAAGGGTCAGGATAATGAATCCACTGAGAGAGAAGAGGGTGGGGTGAGGATCCGGGGTATTCTTGAGACCCAAGGAGAGAGGGAGGTCCCACAGCAGAAATGGGAGTGTCTGCTCCGGCCGAGATTCTTCCAGACGAGCAGGAAACCTCCCGTTTCTGTGGGCACTTGGCAGACACCTGCTCCAGCCGAGGTGTAGCTAGAAGGACTGACACGCTTAGGGGTAACAGTCATGTCTCCCGCCCCTACCCACCCTGGCAGTCCCAGCTGCTCAGGGGCCAGCTGCAGGCTCTGCAGGTGCTGTACAGCGAGAGTCAGGCGGAACAGGAGCTACTGCAGCAGGAGCACGAGAAGCTGCTGGAGGAGCGGAAGAGGCTGCAGGCCGACCTGCAGTTCTGCCTGGAAGAGATGCAGCTGCTCCAAGACCAGTCGCCTGCGGCCAAGGCGAGCCTTGAGTCCTACAAGAAGAACCACGGCAGCGTGGCTCCCAGCAGCGAGAACCTCCTCAAGAGTTACGGGAGCACCGACGGCAGCCACGACAGCTTCCTCAAGAGTTACGGGAGCAGCACGAGCGAGGCCCACGAGAAGAGCTACCGCAGCAGCAGCAGCTGCAGCAGCGGCAGCGGCTCCTACCGGAAGAGTTACGGCAGCAGCAGCTGCAGCTCGGACACCTATCACAAGAGTTACGCCAGCAGCAGCCCTAGCGAGGACCTAGCCGAGCCTGCAGACATGGAGGTAACAGTCGCCCGATGACAGGTCAGGCAGGGGAAGACGATGCTCCCGCAGGGTCAGTGGAACAGGATCCAAGCCGAGCTGGGGGGTTACTGGCAGGAAGTGAGGCCCCTCCGCCCCTGGCGGTCCTCCCTCCCCGAGAGATGCCCCCATCTGGATGGAGGCCTGAGATTCAGGAGTGTTCTTTTTATTTCTTTTTAAGATGTATTTATTTGAGAGGCACTTACAGACAGAGAGAGGGAGACAGAGAGAGAGGTCTTCCATCCGCTGGTTCACTTCCCAAATGGCTGCAACAGCTAGAGCTCGGCCAATCTGAAGCCAGGAGCCAGGAGCTTCTTCCAGGTCTCCTACACGGATGCAGGGGCCCAAGCACCTGGGCCATCTTCTACTGCTTTCCCAGGCCATTAGCAGGGAGTTGGACAGGAAGTGGAGCAGCCAGGACTCGAACCAGTGCCCATTTGGGATGCTGGCACTGCAGGCAGAGGCTTAACCTACTACGCCATAGTGCCGGCCCCAGGAATCTTTATCAGCCTGGTCATGGACTCTAAGCGGAGAGAGACAGCGTCCCCCTGCACAGCTCAGACCCTTGGCCGTCCTTCTGTATCCAGGGAAGGGCCTCACAGGATGGGGCGGAGCTCAGGCGGTTCTCAGGGTGCTGCCATTGCTCCTCCGCCCTCCACAGCACTTTGAGGACTCGGTGGCTAAGGTGCTGACCAAGCTGCAGGCAGTGCAGGCCCTGGACCAGATGAGCCAGGAGGAGCACCGCCAGCTGCAGGAGCAGATGAACAAGCTGCTGGACCAGCAGAGAGCGCTGCGGGCGGAGCTGGATGCGTGCGAAAGGGATTTCCAGGAGTGCATGGAAGGCCTGGACAAGCCCGCAACCCCTCCGTGTGACAAGAGCGAGGTAACGCCGCCGCCGGGGAGGCAGGGCTCCTCCCAGGAGTCCCCAGAGCCACAGGAGGTCACGGCCATTTCAGAGATGTTGACGAGAGGGACCAGGCAGGGAGACCGAATCCTAGGAGGCGGGGCATCTGCGCATCCTGGACGGACGTGCTCGGGGACAGGGGCATCTCTCAAGTGCCCGCTGTGCTGGCCTGCACTGGACTCTTCCCTCGGCCACTCCTGTCCTCTTGGTGTCCCAGGGCACTTCTGGAGAGCCTGTTCTCTGTTCTGCCTGTAGTTTTCTTGTCTCCTCAACCAGAGTGTAAGCACCCGAGGGCAGGGGCCTTGTTCCCTTCCTTTTGGTCTCGTGTGACACCAGGAAGGGCACAGAAGGCGTAGTCTCTGGCCAGTGGAGGTGGTGGTGGGGCACTGCGTGTGTGGCGGCGAGCACGGGAGCCCAGGCTGCTGAGTGGTCGTACCCACTGAGCAGGTTCTTAGTGCCAGCATCAGCCCAGCCCAGGAAGACGCGAGCAGAGCAGGGAGTCCCAGCAAGTCCCAGGCTCTGACTTGTCTGCCTCCAGGAGAGGTGCAGGAGCCAGTGTGTCGCAGGACTGCACGGCCCAGATCCTCGAGTTGCCGTACCCATTAGAGAAATGGGTTGGCTGGGGTAGGAGTTTCCATGAAAAGGGTTATATAATAAATCCCTGAGGCTCAGAAGTGGCAGCCACCCCCTAGTTAGTCTCCAGCCAAGTCACGGGAGAAAGCATCTCTTACGTCGACATCTTTCCATCGTGTCACATGTAAACCATCAGGTGCCTCAGGTCAGAGAGAAGCCCTGTGCAAGACCATTTCGGAGGCTGGTTTTCCAGTTTGATGGTTCCTTTATTGTCTACGTCCCCATGGGCATCAGCAGGGAGACTGAGGCAGCGACTCCCCAGCACCCCTAAGCAGGGCCCAAGCTGACCCCATGGGCCCAGCTCCGGGTGACTGCCGGCCTCCCTCCCCCCACTGCCGACAGATCAAAGAGCTACAGGCCAAGCTGCGGGAGCTGCAGCTACAGTACCAGGCTAGCATGGATGAGCAGGGCCGGCTGCTGGTGGTGCAGGAGCAGCTGGAGGGGCAGCTGCAGAGCTGCCAGGAAGAACTGTGCCGGCTCAAGGAGAAGAAGCCCTGCGTCGCCAAGGAGAGCAAGGGGAAGAACAGCAGTAAAAATGGGAACAAGAATGCCAACGGGTTTAAGAATAAAAAGGCGCCCAAGCCCTGCTCAGACAGCTCCGAGGACAGCTTTGAGACCAGGAAGGTGAGTGGTAACCTTAGCAACCAGGTAGGCAGCGCAGATCCCCGGAGGAAGCCTCCTCTCCACCAGCACTGCAACCAGGCGAGGTACCAGGGGCCGCAGGACGCTTGGGCAGAGATGGAATTCAAGCACAAGTTCATTTTGGTGCCAAAAAAAAAAAAAGCTTTTGGGAATCCATGCAGAGTTTTGGGCATTTTTGAAGACCCATGGCATTTGTAGAAAAGCTCCCTGGACTTCTGCAGTGTTGGCGAAAGCTCCATCTTTGCAGGAAGTCGCTTTGTTCTCTTCCTGTGAAGCTATGGGGAGAGTGGGTGCGGCCCCCAAGGACCACAGCCGCTGGGCTGAGCGACTGCTCCGGGTAGCCCAGCCCTGATGCTGGGGCGCCCGTCCCACCTGGGGTATGTGCCCGAGAGAAGGACTGAGAGATGAGGGGAAAGATATTGTTCAAAGTAGTTGTTTGCTAATAAGCCCGAGAGGATGGGATGCAGAGGAGCCCCTTGTGAGGGGTGGGATGCAGGAGCTGAGGCACAGAGCCCGGGAACCTTCAGCTCTGGGGGCTGCTTGAAGTGGCTTCACGGCCAGCGGCTGTCTGGGGCCCGAGAAGCCAGGGTGTTCTGTTCCGCGAGGTTGGCGCCTTGCAGCCCCAGAACGGAGCGCCGCACCCTCGCACCGTGGCAGCTGGAAAGCTTCCCGAGTGAGAACGGGAACCCTCCCAGGTAGCCTTCCCAGGTAACTGCCTCCACCCCGCAGAGTCTGGAGGTGGTGCTGTACTACAAGGCCAGCCGGTCGGACTTAGAGAAGCTAGCAAAAGAGGACGAAAGGAAAGAGGGGACAGAGAAGGACAAAAAGGAAGTCCCGGAAGAGAAAGCGAAGTGCGAGTCTCGGGGTGAGCAAGCTACTGAGCCGGCAGATCCCGGGGAGGCTACAGCAGCCGCGGAGGAGGAGGAGGAGGAGGAGGAGTACGAAGAATACAGAGAACCGGAGGACAAGGGGGAAGACAACGAAGAGGACGAGGACGAGGACGAGGACTCTCGCCCTGAGACAGCCGAGGAAAACAGCCCCCTCAAACTTTCTGAGAGTAAAAAGGTAACCACAGCCAGAGGCTGGATCAGGTGGGAAAAGGGCTGGGGGCTCAGGTGCCCCCGTGTTCAGGGGTGGCCCAGCCACCGCTGGCCTGGCACAGGAGGGAAGGTGGAGACGGAGAAGGGGGTGGGGAGAGCCGTTTCTCTGCAGGAAGTGGCAGGTGGAGACCACGGTGCGGATGCGGACCGGAGGTGGGGTCTTTGGCGCCTGTGTCCTTTCATTTACACGGTAGTCCTTGTCACCGTTCTCACTCGGGGGGTTCCCTCTTCACTGCCCCTGGCTCTGCAGGAGGGGTGTTGCCAGTGAGAGGCCTTCGGGGCATTTCTGTCAGCCTGGACCAGTGGCTCAGTCCTGTTTCCCCACGGTGCCCTGTTAGGCTTAACCTCTGTGGATGCTATTTGGGGAGTGAAGAGGCAGGCAGTGAGGGCGTGAGGGCGGGGACTGGGAGTACGCAGGAGAGACAGTTTCAGTCTGTCCAGCTGGCAGGGACGTGGGCCAGCCCGAGGAGACAAGCCACACCCCAGCCCTGGAGGCGCTGGGTCTTTGCGAGGCTGGGCGGGGGCTGTCGCGGAGCACGTGCCTGGGCGGCAAGGGGAGTGTGCACCTGTGCAGGAGTGCTTCTGAGTTCTCACAGCCGGGTCACCTGTGCAGGCGTGCGCCGCTGACTTCTTACCCTGGGGCCGACTCCCTAAGGCGTTTGAGTAAGTCAGGCTCAAACCTCCCGAGTGAGTCCTCGGTTCCCAGTACAGGTTCTTTCTGACTCTCTGAAAGCGGGGGAAGAAAAGAATTCTCTAGGGGTGGGATCACGCCATCCACTCTAGGGGCTATCTGGAATTTTCCAACAACCGGGTCTGCCGCACTGGCTGAGGACTGGACCCCGTGTGCAATTTTCTGTTGGCCTTGTGGCTGAGGATCGTAACTGAGGAGATGAAAAGTCGCAGGGAGGCATCCCTAGGGGCACATTTCTTTGAAATCTACATGTTCGACCACATGCCGGTTCTGGGCCTCTTGGGTTTCTTTTACTTTGGGTGCCACACTTCTAGAGCCACACGTGAGTCAAGCCCAATCCCTGTGCCTATGTATGCAGGTGCCCTCCTTGCCCTAAAGGGGTCTTGCGGCTTTTGCAGGTAGTTCTACAGGCATATGTGTTACCACCTGGGCATTTAGTTTCTCTCTGGAAGATTGTTACAGCCCAAGAATTAGCCCTCCTCCTTTGTTGGCTTATTTTAACGCATTTTGCCTCACAGCCATAGCACCTGGCAGGTCATAGGGACTAGAGGTCAAAATACCGAGACACTGGATGGAGAGCAGACCAGACAGGTGGCCTGGCAAAAAGACTGGCTTTGTCCGGAGTGACCCGGGGTGAGGATGTGCCCCACTCCTCTACGGAAGCCCAGTCTACGCTCTGGGGCTCCACTCTTCCCGAGCCACTGGGCCACGACGAAGGTCTAGGAGCAGGTAACTCCTCGACAAGATGCGAGAGGTATGGGGCCGGACAGGAAGTTGAATGCAGCACCTGATTCGGACCCAGCTACTGCTTAGCTTTCGGTTCTGCAGCCGCTGCGGGCTGCCAGAGGAAAGGACCCAGGCCCAGGGACAGAGCTCGAGCGGATCTGTTTTTTAACCTCTTGCTTGCTTTCTCTTTCCCTTTGTTTTCTCATCTTCATTACCTGTTGGATTCATGTGTTTATGTCTTTTTACGCCACCTCGCACCTCCCGGTCCCCCCTCGTGCCTCTTCCTCATCTGATCTGTTGCAGCCATCCCCTGCCCCCGATCCCCCCATCTTCTCCTTGCCTCTCGTAGGTCTGGTGGTCATCTCGGCTTTGCTCTGGTGCTGGTGGGCTGAGACGTCGTCCTAACACAGGTACTGGTATTGCTTCCTCTCCTCTCCCTTTTCTCTCTGCGGCTGCTTGCCTCTCGCTTTTTGCTGTTTCCCAAGAGGTGGTACTCAGGTCCGAGTTTTAGTCCTGGCTTTTCCTTGGGCTACTGCGAAGCCTGTGACGTCTCTGAGCGTGTCTTCACGAGGCACAGGGGGCTGGAATGCTTACCAGAGACGTGGTTTGAGTTCCTGTCCCCGGCTGGGAGAGAAACCTGGAGAAGCCCAGCCACAGTGGCTACCGTCAGAGCTGCCTGACTGCTTCCGATGAGCTGACACGTGCCTGCGAGGCTGCCCGGGCTCCTCGTCTTTGTTTAACTGTAGAGCCGAGGTCTCGCTGCTGTTGCTGCCCAGGGTGGCAGCGTAAGGCGTTAGTCCCTCTCCCGCTGGGCGAGAGAGGGCTGCAGAGCTGTGCTCCTTCAACCTTGATGACACGGACCCAGACCACCGTAGGAGACACTTGCCACTGAAAAGTCTCTGGTTTGCGACTTCTGGTCTCCAGAAAAATCATAACAAAATGCCGGGAAGTATTTGATAGTTCTCTGTTTATCCCTTTTGGGGGCCGAATCCCATGGTAATCGGCTTCTCGAGCTTGGTTTTGAAGACAGCGTGTGTTACCGGTGAAAACTATCAGCTAGAGATACGTGTGCTCGGGAAGTCAGGCCCGATGCGTCTGGGCACCTGCCAGCTGGCCGCGGCTCGCGCGTCTGCTCTGTCAACAGCAGGCTGAATTCAGGAAGCAAACCCTAGGCTTCTGCCTGCCTGTGGAACCCGCAAGTGACTCTCTCTTGGCCTGTTTTCCTTTCGCATCCTTTCCCTGCCACCCCCATCCCAAAAGGGAAGTCTAGTTGGCTCCACGTGTAGCCCCCTAAGCATTTGTTGGTAGCACTTTTTACCATTTTCTGTTCTTTCCTGTTTCCACTCCCCTTCGTACACCTGCCCCCTTCGTCAACCCTTGTCCTTTTTTTTTTTTTTTTCTTTTAAGGATGTTCCTGTTTCTCCTCTTGGTCTTTCTTTACACCTGTTGGTGACGGGGTCTCTCTGTACCTCCTGCTCGCCTGTACACTCGCACACGTCTTAAGCAGTCCCTGTAGGGTGAGGCTCCGAGCACTCAGCCGTGCCTTTCCCCGGCTCCACCTCCGCCAGGCCGGGTCACAATGAGAGGAGGGCCCTCCTGGGGGCAGCTGCGGATCCCAGAGCTCTGGCCACACCTCGGTGTTCAGCTGAGTCTCTCTCTCCTTCCTCCAGGCTCTGTCCTGGTGAGCAAAATGCGTCATCTCAACGTTAGCTTCTCCAAATGTAAACAAAAGATGCTTAAGCCCTGCCTTCCTCAGGGGATTTTTGTGAGGATCAGATCAGCTGAATTAATGAGTGTGAAAGTATTGTGTAGGCTATGAAATACTACATGCATAATGCAAGGAGCACACACCTCCGTAATGCATATGACAAGCTGGCCACTTGCAGTCACTTGATTTATAGAAACTAATTCATCCTTCTTATGAGGAAGCTATGACTGTGAATACTGTCATTTATAGACGCTCACAGCAAGACATGGGGAGGTTACGTAATACAGCCAGGATATCGTGAGTCGGGTCATCAGGACGGAATATGAGCAGCACATGGCATTCTGCCCCCGTTTGTCCGTGTCACCTCCTCTCGCTCTGCACGCTGTCCCTCTGTGGGCCCCCACATAACTGGAAAGACGCCACGTTTCTGTTTATGCAATGCCGGGTAACGGAGCTCTCGATAACCTCCTGTGTTGTTTAGGAAGCCCCTGCGCGCCCTGCGTGTGTTCAGCACCCTCTGCTGCACGCGATGTCTTGGGTCCCTTGGCAGAATTCTCCATTCTGAGTATTCACATTGTCCCCCAGGGTGACAAGTATGCCTCCTGCCCTCATCCAGGCTGCGAGTGGGGAGCCAGTCTCCTGTGTGTTGTCGCCCCAGCTTCTCTTTTACGCAGCCCTTTGATCACTAGCAGGTGGTCATGCAGCAGGCTACACCATCAGCCTGCTCTTACTTGCACGTATCATCTGCAAGGATATCACGGAACATCCTGTCGCACCGCTTGATGGAATCTCAGACACGATTCCCAGGCTGTCGGCAAGGCTGGTGGGACGCGCTCCTTCGGGACCCCGAAGCTTCCCTCTGCTCACGCGGTGTGGACTCCGGCCTCTGCCAGGGTGAAGTCCACCCTTCCAGGCTGATGGGTTTCTGCCCGTCCTCCCGCGAGAACACCACACTGACACGGTTAGCTGCGCACAGTAGGATGCGACATCCGGGCAGTAGCCCTTCTAGCCGCCTTCTCAGTTCATGCTTACGTGAGTTACTCTGAGTACCCACGCCCGCGCGGTTTTGCTGTCCATCTCGTGCCTTCTGTTCCTCCCAACAACTATGTCTTCAGATTGAGGAGGTCGTCTCTGCCCTCTAGAGTGGACTTAAATCCTCTTTTCAGATCCGTTATCCTCTGAGAAGCTGCTGGTAGCATGAACGGCCCTACTCCACCCTTACCTAAAACCATCCTTGCGTCACGTACGCGCCATAGCTCACGACTGAAAATCCAAAGCCCGCCTTTCAAGGAAGACAGTTAAAGAGCTAAGAACAGGAACTGTTTCCCCGAGTGTGGATTTTCTCGTTGACGATTTCCCAGGCCCTAGAGGATGCTCTCTGGGTGTCTTCTGCTGGCGTCACTGTTGTCCCGCCGACCAGCAGGGTTCCCTCGCAGGCTCTAGCACACGTGCCAGGAAGTCACCCGTGGGCGGGGCTGTCTTAGTGAGCCTGACATGTGCCTCCCAGGGCCACTATCAGGCTTCTTTTAACTTCCTTGAACCAACTCCATTCTGCATAACAGGTTTGGCTGCCAAAGAACTCCTACTTTCCTGCACTCCCTGGGGCACCTCCCCTCCCCCCTCAGTCTGAGTTCCTTTCCCTTCTATACCGCTAACGAGGTGCCACCCCTTTTCCCAAAGGCCTCAGTTGACTCTCTGCTGCCCTCCTTTCTCACTGCAACCACTTGGAGAATCTGCAGTCTGGCCCCTGGGCTGCTCCCACACATACAAGTTAGTGTTCTCCCACTGGGAGAGACAGGGGCATGGACGCAGGCACGGCCTAAGGGGACGCGGCCAGCGTGTGCCGTGCCACAGACCTGGCGGTGTCAGGGCCCAGGACCCACACGGTCTCCACGGTTGCCCAGGAGGTATGAGGTGACCCATGGTGCCCCGGAGGTGTGTGTCCTGGGCACCAGCAGGCAGGGGGTCTCTGGCTGAGGGACGGGTTCAAGGCTGGGCACTCACGGCTTTTCTTTGGTCCCCACAGAACATGTTTGGGATGTGGAAGCCCATGGTGTTCTTGGCTATTGCAGCTGTGGCTCTGTATGTGTTACCCAACATGCGACCGCAAGAGACACAGCTCTGCCTCATGGAGTGATGGCGGACCTGGGCCAGTGGAGAGGGCAGACCCCCAGCAGCAGCCACTCTCACCTTTGGGCAGGATGCACTGTACCAGAGCCCCCACCCTACCAATGTGTCCCATGTGTCCCTCTCTCCTTGGCCTCAGTCACTCAGGCTGCAAAGCCTTATGGGAACTATTGGCTCCCACCTCCTGCCTTGTATAAGAACCTGGGTTCCTTGTAATTAAATATCAACCTAATCACGTGAGACTTGTGGCTTTTTATTTGCTGAGTGCTTCGCACCATAACCAGGACAGGATGGTTCCTCCTTAACCAAGTGCTCACACAGGGGTCTGGCTCCCCAGTGTGATCTCTCGCCCTACAGTTGGCCTCAGATACAAGGCTAGCTCCCTGGGCCGTCAGCTGAATGGCAGATGGATTTGTCTCCGCTTATTCAGCCCATCTCAAGGAATTCATCTAAGCAGAAAGAAATGCAACGGACTGGGTATCTGCTGGGAGGCGGGGCCAAAAGACGTGGCTCCTGTGTCCCCATCTGTGTGACGACACCCTGAGACCTGTGTGGGAGCTCTCGTGGCTTTTCCCTTGTTTGTTCTACTTAGTTGGTCAGGATCCTGGCAGTAAATGGGTGGCACACTCCAAGAACTAACCAAAGAGTTTAATGAAGGAACTGTCGGGGCCGGCCCTGTGGCGCAGTAGCTTAATCCTCCGCGTGCGGCACCAGCATCCCATATGGGCACCAGTTGGAGTCCCAGCTGCTTCTCTTTTGATCCAGCTCTCTGCTATGGCCTGGGAAAGCAGTAGAAGATGGCCCAGGTGCTTGGGCCCCTGCACCTGCATGGGAGACCTGAAAGAAGCTCCAGGATCCTGGTTTCAGATCAGCACAGCTCTGGCCGTTGTGGATGTTTGGGGAGTGAACCAGCAGATGGAAGACCTTTCTCTCTGTCTCTTCCTCTCACTGTCTGTAACTCTACCTCTGAAATAAAATCTTAAAAAAAAAAAAAAAAAAAGGAACCGTCTACAGAAGGCAGAGCGAGGAAAACCAACATGGCGTCGTGCAGCGCCCAGGCTTCAGCACCGTGGGAAGCTGCCTTGGCCCAGGCTGAAGGGGACAAGAGAAGAAGCAAGAGCTGAAGCCATAAAAAGGGACACTGGGTAGTGTGGTGGCCACGGGAGGTGTGGCTCTTCCTCCCACCTGCCGGTTTCCTGTGGGCAGCTGTCATTGACCGAACTCAGCTGCGAGCAGAGCACACAGGCGCCCAGGTGAGGTAATCCTTCAAGGTCAGCCTCCTGGAGCTCAGAGCAGGACAGAGGAGTGAGAATGGGGCTCAGTGAGGACAAGCGGAACTGGAACCCTCTGTGACTGCTTGTGGAAGACCCCAGGTGTATTCTTAAGCCACAGAGGACAGAATGCCTCCCCACCCCGTGACTGCTCAGCTCCTTGGGACTCCTCTCTCTGATGCCGAAGGGCTTTGCTCCGTTCCACCAAGCACCCAAAGCCATGCACGCGGGCGCCGCTGAGCACTGAGCGACAGCACTTCTCCCCCCCCTGTCGTTTTCTCGCGGGAGTGGCAGGGACACTTAGAGTGGGGAGAGGTTCAGTCTGTGTGTAGGCCAGAGCAGTGACAAGGCTGAACCGAGTATCCCTCCTAGCTGGCCTGCTGCCTGTGCCGAAATCATGATCACCCCTTGAGAAACAGTTGTGGCTGGGTGAATTGAGGGCAGTGCCACGTGGCCCTTGTGCCTCCAAGCGACCCCTCTATGGAGACGGTCCTGACGGGGGCCGTCCAGCCCCCCGCTGCTCCCTGTGCCCGCAGTCTCTCCTGGTAGTGGAGGAGAAAGGCCAGCTCGCAGGCCCCACCACAGACACCCTGACACAGAAGCTGCATCCTTTTTCTTTTTTTCTCTTTTTATTTCATTTATTTGAAAGGCCAAGTTACAAAGGAGGACTAAGAGGTCTTCCATCTGTTGGTTCACTCCCCAAATGGCTGCAATGGCCAGGGCTAGGCCAGGAGCCAGGAGCTTCATCCGGGTCTCCTACATGGGTGGCAGGGACCAAAGCACCTGAGTCATCTGCTGCTGCTTTCCCAGGTGCGTTTGCAGGGAGCTGGGTCAGAAGTGGAGCAGCCGGACAGGAACTGGAGCCCATATGGGATGCTGGCATCACAGCCAGCAGCTTAACCCACTACACAACACTGGCTCCTTTCTTTTTTTTTTTCTTTTTTAAAGATTTATTTATTTGAAAGAGTAACACAGAGAAAGAAAGAGAGAGAGAGAGAGAGAATCTTCCATCCACTGGTTCGCTCCCCAAGTGGCTGCGATGGCTGGGGCTGGGCCAGGCCGAAGCCAGGAGCCAGAGGCTTCTTCTGGACCTCCCACATGGGTGCAGGGGCCCAAGCACTTAAGTCATCTCCACTGTTTTCCCAGGCACATTAGCAGGGAGCTGGATCGGAAGTGGAGCAGCCAGGTCTCAAACCAGCGCCACATGGGTTGTTGGTGTTGCAGCCATCCACTTTACCCATTATGCCACAATGTCAGCACCCCTTGTTTTTCCCTTTTTTAAAAGAATCTCTTTGAGGGCCGGCGCCGCGGCTCACTAGGCTAATCCTCCGCCTAGCGGCGCTGGCACACCGGGTTCTAGTCCCGGTCGGGGCGCCGGATTCTGTCCCGGTTGCCCCTCTTCCAGGCCAGCTCTCTGCTGTGGCCAGGGAGTGCAGTGGAGGATGGCCCAGGTGCTTGGGCCCTGCACCCCATGGGAGACCAGGAAAAGCACCTGGCTCCTGGCTCCTGCCATCGGATCAGCGCGGTGCGCCGGCCGCAGCGCGCCGGCCGCAGCAGCCATTGGAGGGTGAACCAACGGCAAAGGAAGACCTTTCTCTCTGTCTCTCTCTTTCACTGTCCACTCTGCCTGTCAAAAAATAAAAAAATTAAAAAAAAAAATTTCTTTGAGAGGAATAAAGAGAGCGCTCCCATTCGCTGGTTCACTCCCCAGATTCCCACAATGTCCAGGACTGGGTGAGACCAAAGCCAGGAGCCAGGAAGTCAATCCAGGCTTCCACATGAGTGCCAGGAACCCAGCTACCCAAGCCATCACCTACTGCCTCCCAGGGTCTGCATTAGCAGGAAGCTGGAATGGACAGCAAGGGCCAGGAATGAAACTCAGGCACTCTGATGTGTGATCCAAGCATCTTATATTGCAACTGCAAGGCCAAATCTCAGAACATGTGTTTCAGCAAGATCCCCAACTGATAAGTACGCACAGTAAAATGTGGGAAGCACTGCCCTAATCAGTTACATCTGGTTGTACATTCTTAGTCGTGACCTAATTAAAGAAATGCCTTTGGGGAGCGTTGCAGTGTAGCGGGTAAAGCCACCACCTGCGGTGCTGGCATCCCATATGGGTGCTGGTTCAAGTCTAGTTGCTCCACTTCTGATCCAGCTCCCTGCTAATGGCCTGGGAAAGCAGTGGAAGATGGCCTAAATGCTTGGGCTCCTTCATCTACATTGGAGACCTGGAGGAAGCTCCTGGCTGCTGGCTGGCGTCAAACGGGCCCAGCTCCAGCTGTTGCAGCCATTTGGGACAGTGAACCAGTGGATGGACAATCTGCATCTCCTCTCTCTATAACTCTGCCTTTCAATAAATAATAAATAAATCTTTAAAAAAATGACTTCACATCCTACCTGTTGCCACTGGCCGCATGTGGTGAGGACTTGCTTTATTTTTATTTATTTATTTATTTATTTATTTATTTATTTATTTTTTGACAGAGTGGATAGTGAGAGAGAGACAGAGAGAAAGGTCTTCCTTTGCTGTTGGTTCACCCTCCAATGGCCGCCACAGCTGGCGCGCTGCGGCCGGTGCACCACGCACCGCGCTGATCCGAAGCCAGGAGCCAGGTGCTTCTCCTGGTCTCCCATGGGGTGCAGGGCCCAAGCACCTGGGCCATCCTCCAGTGCACTCCCTGGCCACAGCAGAGAGCTGGCCTGGAAGAGGGGCAACCGGGAAAGAATCCGGCGCCCCGACTGGGACTAGAACCCGGTGTGCCGGCGCCGCTAGGTGGAGGATTAGCCTAGTGAGCTGCGGCGCCAGCCTGACTTGCTTTATTTTAAGAAAACACATCTTAAGGTATTCAGTTAGTCTTTTTTAAACATTTTAAAATTTCTTTTCATTTTTATTTGAAAAGCAGAAAGAGAGAGAGACAGAGATCTTCCTTCTGCTGGCTCCCGCCCACAAATGCCTGCTATAGCAAGGGCGGGGCCAGGCTGAAGCCAGGAGCCCAGAACTTGATCTAGGTCTCCATGGGGGCGGCAGGGACGCAAGTACTTGAGATGCCTCCCAGGGTGTGCACTCACAAGAAGCCGAAGCAGAAGAAGAAGAGGCAAGACTCAAACCAAGCGTTCATGGGACGGGGGCATCCCAAGCAGGGACTTAACCTCTGTGCCAAACACCAACCCCAGAAACCCTGCCTTTTATCCACTTTATCCCCGTCACCAGTGGAAAACGTGGTAGAAAAAGCTGGAAGATTCCCTAGAGCCCAGGGCTGTGGTCTGAATGCGTGAGTCCCCCTGGGAACCATATATTGAAATCCTAACCCCCAGGTGACATTAGAATGGGGACCCCTGAGGTGATTCGGTTGGAAGGGTGGGGCCCCCACAACTGGGATGAGTTCTTGGATCCCACGCGTGCCCCATGCACGTTCACCGGGAGAAGAGGGCCATGTGCGAGGAAGGGGCAGGTGCTCGACCTGGGCCTTCACAGCCTCCAGACTTTGAGAAATAAACTGCTGTTGTTTCCAAGCCGCCCCGTCTACGGTGTTTTGTTATAGAAGCCCAAGTGGACTAGGACAACAAAGGTCTCTGACTGAACTTGGAATCAGAAGCCAAGATGGAGGTCAGGTTCTGGTGGGCAGCTGGGCCCCAGTCGGGAGAGCCAAACCTCGAGCCTGACTCTGCAGGGGCCCGGGGCCCGCTTTCCCCAGCCTTTCTGTGGGGAACCCAGAGCTTCTGTTAGGGTGCTTACCACGCTGCTCAGCTTAGAACCCCGTGGTGCCTATGGTCTTAGAGATACACGTCACCGAGGTCTGTCAGAAAAGTCTCCTTTCCTTGAATGTGAAACATTCAATTCATTTGAGCATTTAAAAAAAGAATAAAATAAAGGCAGGCAGAACTGACTCTGTCTACAGGGGTGTCTCTTGGAAGCCACAGCAGGCATGCACCCGAGCCTAGGTACAGGCAGCCCCAAGGATCCAA